GGGCCGCGGCCCATGGCGGCAAATCTATAGGGGGCGGCAATTTTTTAAATTTTTTTAAATGTAGTTATAGAAAATTCGAATTTAAAAAGAAAATTACAAACGAGAAAAGGCGACAAAAACTCTAATTTTCTGAGTGTAAAGTAATTTCTACTTTTGTCGTCTTTCAGTGATACAAGAGACAGCACCTTTAATTAGTCGAGTTAAGAGAGAAACCAAACACGCAATTTGGCCTGGAACGCGACTTAGAGAGAAACGATGACGAGGACTTGAGATGAAAAGGAGAAGCCCTCGGCGCAGCGGCGATCGGCATGTAACACATATTAGCCCCTACATGACAGCTCAAATACTTCACCCATTGCGGCAAACATAGTGCGATCAGCGTGAAACGCATGGCGCCTACAAGACTGTCGGAATACTTCACGCATTGCGCCAAACACGGCACGGTCTACGCGGCGCGGCGGCGGCGGCGGCGACGATTAAAATCATTAATCCACATTTATGTTTGTTCTTTCATAATTTCTTCGTTCATTTCTTATGAATGGAAGGCCTTGTCCACACAGAGATAGGTTTACGACACTTAACTTTCGCGCAAAGTTCCGTGAACTTTTGTTAGTAGTGTTGACAGGGCTTTCCCAAAAAATGTGTTCAACACAAGTAAACGCGTCTTATGCATCCCCTTCCCGCTGAAACGTTCATTTGATGGTTTTTATTGATGTTTCAAAACGAATGAGAAGGGGGCGGCAAAATACAGGGGGCCCACGGGCGGCAAGTAGGTAAATCCGGCTCTGATAGGGTTCGCACAGTGCTCTTCGTATCAAACGGTTAAACTGAGGCTTTTTTAAAAAATCTAACAGAGCTATACCTTTCCCCATTGTCACCGAGAATTAAGAAATATAATCCACTGTAACAAATGTTATCCGCCGCTAAGAAGCGAATTTGCGCGATCGAATATCATTCACCATTGTATGATACTCGACGATTGTGCATTTTTTTTAAAATGATATTCGACTTCTTCGTTGGTCTTGTCGGAGACCGGTGAAATCCATCAATTTGAAATTTCGAATTCACCTCGGGACTTGAATTCGATTTTTGAATTGATGCAATCGATGTCAGAAACTTCATCTTTCACCAGATTTTTCTTCACTTTCAAGTCACTTCTATCTGTTGTTGTGGTTTGTCAACTCAAGTCTGCTGTTTTTGCAATTTGGTGCGTTTTAGTGATTCGTATTTTTTCATTTTCTTCTTTGATTTCATTTAAAAAAAAAAAAAAATCTGAACTCTGATTGGCTCCTGCTTTCATCGATCATCGGCATCACTCTGCATTTATCAATTCATTGGATGAATTATATTCGATCGCGAAAATTCGCTCAAGGAAACGCATCATAAAATCATACAATCCCGAGACAGCCAAGAAGTCGTCATCGTGACAATTTAAGTTTCGTTGTCACGCTAACGCGCGCTTACACAAAACCAAAAAGGAGACGATGAAGAAGAAAGGAACTAGGAAGAGATGAAGATTGATTCAATTCATAGCACTGATGACTGCATAACTCCGTGATGCAACTATTCCACCTCGGCGACTGTGCGTGAAGTGTGGAGAAAAACTGAAGGCGCTTTGGCTCATTTTGACCACAGATGCAATCCGTCACAAGCCGCTAGCAAATAATAACTCCGATGAGTTACTTTAATTTTTCTTAATATCTATTGCTTTTCAAATTTATCTTCACAAATTCAGCCAGTTTCATTTTTTAATGATGTTGTGTTGTTTCGTGATATTGAAAAAGTATTGATTTAAAATGCTCGTCTCATAGTTGTATGCTTGCGTCGTAGGTGCATCCTCATACCGCTCTCTCATATTCCGCATTTGAAGCATCTGTCATAATTATATCCTCATAAAAATGCGTTCATATTTAATGCATCTCTGTTTAACGAAAGAGCAGCGCCGACGCCCAACAAATCAAAATAAATCGATAGTCCTGCAGAATGTCAAATGACGCATCACACCAATGGAACCGTCACACTTAGAAGAAGTGATATCGATGGGCAAAAATGAAAGATGCATTCAATTGAAGCCTTGCCTTGGATTGGTTTCAAGTGTGAATAATGAGTTTATGTGCAATTTTTGTGAAATGAAATGAAATGGGTCAAAAGCACTGACAGAACAGAAGCCATAAGAGTGTGAACGTTCAATTTATCACTCGAACGAACTCGAATAAGTAATCTGATCGAACGTGAAATTGCACCACTTGCTTCCGTATGTAAAAGGCGGCGCGCAGCGGAGGAGAAATAATAGTGGAAGAAACAGAAAGAACAAAGTTTTTCACGTTATTTTTATTTTATTCTTCGAAATCAGGGTTTCAGCCTATGATTCCTGCATCTATGCCACCGATGCCTGTCCCTTCTTCTCCCTTCTTAATTAAAAAGATCGATGGCTTATGGAAGCCAAAATAGTCCCGAATTTCGTGAACACTAGAACGTGGCCCATTGCAGTTTTATCGATTTAGTATAACCAGTAAGATAGTTTGCAAATTCTCGAATGCTCTCTAAGTAATCATAATTGGTTCTTTCCTTTTTTTTCATTTTTACCTTTTTTCCACTTCTAATGTGGTAAAAGCTGGTGTAATATTTTAAAAAGTTTCTTCGTTTTTTAGTTTCAGCATCTCTGTTAATCTACGTTTCATTTGGCAGTACTAATCCTCGTGCAGACTTGTCGGCTAGGCATCCGACACATTTTGAATCGGAAGTAGAGGCCCTCGGCTTTGTTTTAAAATTGTATTTTGAATTTTTCCGTTTAAATGCATTTCTTATGTACTGTAACAACTTATACTCTTATCTCACATCTGAATGAAGCAATGACCCACCATAACACGTGTAAATACTGGTAAAATCATGAAATTTCAGTCGAATGTAGCACTGCTGCAATGGACGGCGATGCCTCTCATTCTCTCTTTCTCGCGTGCAACGCCCGTCAAACCGCAAACATTCCTCAGAAGTAGTAGCGGATCTTGAAAGGCATGTCCGTCTCTCGTCAGTTGAGTCATACATTCAAGCATACAGGAAACCGGGAATGACTTTAAGTTCTCAGGCATTATTTTCATTTCCTGATTCATTTCAGCTCTAAGAAATCTTGTATTCTTGAGAAACCTTGCGATACATCGAAAAACCTAAGAAAAAGGAACATTTCTGCAATTTTATCAATAATTTTAGATTGGTCTTTAACATTTCATTTAAGACTCATCTGTGGTCGATGGCAAATCGGGCAGTAGTTTTCAAAAATTCATTTTCACCTCCGTTTTAGTGTACAAAAAAAAATGAATTAAAAGATCAAACTCTTATTGTGATTCAAAAGATTTTAAGCTCTCTCAAAACAATCGCATTCTTTACACATTGGCATTAATTAATTTGCTCAACTTTCGTTACAGCAAATTATTTTCCATGATATCTTCTCTTACATGATATTTTCTTCCTTACAATCTGTTTTTTTTTTGTCATTCAATGTCATTCAAAGAATATCTGTAACTATACTCCGCCATTAATTATCTCTTCATCAGATTGCCCGCATTATAAGCCCTAATTATAGAGTGGTGTGCCATAAAGGAGTTTCGGCGAGCAAAAATCTTCAATCCGATATTTTTTCATCAAAATTATGGAGAACTCTTAGGACACCATTTAACTTTACCTATGAATTCAAAACGCTCGCTGAATAAATCGAGCTATCCGCATCATTATCTTTAGGATGCAACGCAGCAAAGTTCTCGTATAATTCCTGTCGACAAAATCGCCTTCAACTCCTCGTGTAGGCAAAATCACCTTTTTGATGCGCGAATAGTTGCTGCGCCAGGCGCTAGATTCCTGTTATTCACTACTTATTTCACTGCCGACCTAATACTCATAGCAGAGTGTTTTTACCATTCTATAATAAAGAAAAAATCTTCATTGCATTGTAAAGCCTCGCATGTACCGATAGAAATGCACATTTATTAATCGGACCGATATTGGCGGAGAGAAACCAAGCCAAATCAAGGTGGAACCGGTGAAATAAATAGGTGTGAGTGTGAGGTTTCATTCCTCATGAAGATGAAATATAAAAGTTTAGCACCTATTTTTTACTTACGGAAGAGTACTTCTTGATTATAAGTATTATAACTAATAGAGAACATTCACGCCTAACTGAACTCAAAACTGCTTCTCTCAAAGCTGTTCCCCTTATTATTACTCAAACTTTGAAGTGTTGACTAAAAGTCAATTTTAGGGTTTTTTTGGTATCGCATACTGCAGATTGAACTCCTCTGCACTGGATTGCTGAAGTATGATCGATCATCTCACCCCTCCTCCGCCCCCCTCCCCGTCTCTGTCAAGCTCATTTTTTCTGGCCACGTCTTATGTAAGGAAATGAATAAGAATAAAATATCAGGGACCCCGCACACGAACTTCGTTAAACCATTATAAGAAAGGAGGTTTAAAACACTCACATGCACGTCAATTTTTTAAAATAATGCGGACTCGTTTTGTTTTTTAAAATAGAAACAAATTACGCGCACAAGAGTGTTTTTAAATTTTCTTTTAATATATATAAGGAAGCTTAACTTTTTGACGATCATCGAACCCAAGAAACTCGACGAGGAATCTTAAAATAAAACAAGCCGGAAAGAACTCAAGAGTCTTCTTTTCGGGTCATTCGAGCCTCACAATCAATTACTCACATGAAGCTTTCACGTCCGTCAGATTAATGATACACCCTTCGATACGAAGCTGAAAAGCCAGGTCGATTCCCTCTCGCCTTCAAGGTCAAAGGTCACTTACCGAACCCTTCATTTCCTTGTTGCTTTGTATCCTTTCATATCTATATTTTAGCTTCCGTTTGACTGCGGATTTCCACTCTTCACCCCTTGATGTAAACTCTACAACTGGATAGTTAAAGCTACGTCCGCTCCGCCGCGCTGAGTTCTCGTGGGTTCACCAAGGCGATGGTTTCAGCCCTCCAGCTATTCGTAACCAGCTATGAAGAACGGGTGTGAGACCTTGGATAATTGCAGTGGCTTGACTCTTAAGTTCTTTTCGCCGCTTTTTAAACGTGAAAAGTCGAAATTTCTACGGATTCCATTCCGCGTTTACTCTCGAAGTCTCCGCGCTATTACGGCTGTTTTGAAACGCGTTTAGACTTCGGTTCATCTTAAGCAACTTTTAAAAAGTTCGTTGGTTTGATATTTAATTGTTACAGCTTAAGTGCTTTGTGCGAATTTTGAAAACTTGAGGTTGACCATTGCCTGCCATCAGGGTCAGTCTAGCTGATGACACTATGAACCGCGATTCATAGTTTGGTATCTTAAAAGAGGGGGATGAGGAAAGACCTCTCCACGTAGAAGAGAGACCCGGAGGGCTTATCTCTGAATATTTAAAATTTAACTCTCTGAAGTATTCTCGACTGTTTGGTGAAATTTTTGGCTTGGAAATGCTGATAAAATCTGATCTAAATTAGTCTCGTTGAGGACGGAAAGGGTCTCATAAATTTTGGATGAGCTTCAACACCCTAGAGATGGTTCTTTCAAAAATAGAGAAAATAAAAAGTAAGACAAAAAATTTCTGACTTTATAATTTTCCTCTGAAAATCATCAGTACGATGCTCTGTTATCAGTATTTTCAGTTTGTAGCCTAAATGAGGGCCTTGGAGGACAAGGCGCATAAGTGTAATTTTTGAAAAAAATGAGGAACTAATGTTTCAAGTAAAACTAGTCTTGAATTCTTGATGAATATTCTGACCCTGGTAAAAATTGGCGATAGGAGCTGTGTTTCAAAATACCATAGGAATTCTTATAGCCGGCTAAAGAGGGCAATAGAAAATCATATAGCTGGCTCAGCTGGCTGTAGAAAGCGGAGCAAATCATAAAGCCGGGCTATACGAAGCGATAAAAAAGTATACGCCGGGCTTTACACTTTATCGCCATCGGCTATAAAAGGCTATAAGAAATTGTGTAGAAATTCGTGGGCTTTGGAAATCATTAAGTTTGATACGGAACCACCATAATATTTACAAAACACACATTATACTTTTCCTTTAATACATATTTTTTTCATCAATTAAAAAGAGAATAATTCATACAGGATGTTCAAACATTTCAAAATCATGAGTTGAAAAACGCTGACTCCGCAAGATTATATATTGGAGCCTAACACAGAGCGGAACGGCGGCGCGGCGTGCTGCCAGCGATAAGCGCGCACCAGCGCCTACAAACCTAACTGGGATACTTCACGCATTGCGCAATGCGTGAAGTAACCCTGTTAGGTTTGAAGGCGCTTTTCGCTGGCTGCGGGCTGCCCGCCCGCCGCGCCACAGCATGCCACGGCGCTTGAAGCAACTATTTCACAGCAGACGTATTGCACAGTATCATACGAAATTGAAGGCGCTCCCACATATTAGGAATGGCAGGCATCCTCCTAATGTACGGAGCTTTCCGCGCAAAATTAATCAAGATACTACGGTCCAAAAATAGAGCGGTAGTCCAAAAACTCATAAAGTCCTAGCATCCGTAATTAGTATCATTTAGCATACACTTTATCGCCTGGCTGTTGCTCAATCGCCATCGGCTATAAAAGGCTATAAGAAATTGTGCAGCCGGCTATAGAAGCTATTGAAAATCTTACAGCCGGCTTTACGTCTATGGTATTTTGGAACACAGATTCTACTGCCAATTTTTACCTGGGGATAAAAATTCGCTCCCAAAATTCAATTAAAAAGAATTAAAAAGTCAATCTAAATTGTTTTTCTGCCATAAGAATCCATGTAATTTCGAAACTTCAAACACGTATTTCTCGAAGTAGCAAAAATTGCACTTACTCGTATTTGTCTTGTCCTCCAAGGACCTCTTAGGTATGAATGTTCCATTATCTACACTATGTGGTCTCCTCAGTGATCAATCGCAGGAATATGTATTTTTGATCGTCCACTAGGAAAAGAACCTTAGCTCTTAGAGGAATAATTTTCAGTAGAGCTATTTTTTCCACATTGGTTCAAACATTTGCGTTTTGAGATTTTAACGAAAAATTGTCCCCAGAGACTTACAGTCGAGGAAGTTGCAAGCGAGGTAGTTCAATTTTGTGCGGGTCGAGGACTCAACTTTTTTTCTCATTCCAACAATTTCCCATCTTGAACATGGCATATTAGAACTTTGAATAGCTTTGATTTCTTGAATTGGCAACTTCAATCCGCCATTGCCACGAGTTGGTGTGGCTTTTTTGGGCGTTTTTTGCCAGAATGTTCGTGAGACACTTCATGGGTGGTGGACTGGTGGTTCACTTTTGAGTTTTTACAGACTGCCTTTTCATTTTCGTGAACGGTCATATTCCGTTGTACCCTCCGGGTTTTCATTTCTCTGCCTCTATCTTTCCTTCCTCCCCTCTTCCTCTTTTAACCCCTCTTCTAATCCACATTTGGACGCATTTCTGTCAAACGGAACTAAGCGCCAATTTGAGTTGCTTTTGGGGAATTTAGCATCCCGGATAGCACGTTCTGTCAAACGGAACTAAGCGCCATGGAAAAGCATTGCGAGTACAGAAACGAATGAGCCCGACGCCCTGTTCCGCCTCTAATCCAAGCCCCTCTCTACCTTCTTACCCAGTTCCGTTTAACAGCAATACGTCCATTTTATTCAGGTTAGCCAACGAACCAAAAAACGACTGATCGCCTCAAAAGGGATCCACCATCAAGAAACAATGGACATATTTGTGGTGTTCCTTCTGAAGTGTAAAGCGGCCTGGGACAGTCTGACCAGTTGCATAGGTTCCAAAGTCTCGTCAACCGTGGAGCCAACTCACCCGGTACCAATCCGCGAGCGGACCCAGTCCCACCAATCGAACCAGCCGAGTCAACATGGCAGCCAAGAGGAAGACTAAAAAACGCGTCCGCATTAATCCAAACCGACCGAAATCGGCCCGACCGCGCCCACCCTCGAAAAAAAGGGCCACAGCACGAAAACCGCGTCGAGGGCGCCGGCCTGTGTCCTCGAGACGCCCCACGGCCAAGCGACGCCCCTCCATCCTAGTCAACTCGCCGCGGAAAGCGAGGAAGTCGCGATCCCGCTCGCTGAGCAAGCGGTCCGCCTCGGTCTCCGCTAGAGCGCGCTCGGTGTCCTCTCGGCGCTCGAAATCTCGCTCCCCGTCCAAGTTCAAGCTCCCCAAGATCAGACTGCCGTTTCAGAGGGCGTCCAAAGCCAGTCCGCGGCGACTCAGTCTTGCGTCCCTCGGGTCGCGCTCTGGACGAAGGGATTCCTGCTCGGCCTGCCGGAAGGCCTCTCTCGACGAGGCCCGAGCTGCCAGCGCCGCCAGGCCCAAATCCTCGTCGCCCATCAAGCTACCCAAAATCAACTTCAACTCGTTCTTCAGTTCCAGGAGGCTCAGGAGGAAGAAGAAATAATGAAACAACGAAACAATGGTGAGTGTCCTCCGAAACCTAGTGAGCTGTTCTATTCTGCCATGCTAAGGAAAAACGCCGTATGAACCCTTAGGCGTTGCCAAATTTCCTTCGACAAAACCCCAATTCGTCGGTAAAATTATGTGTATTTTTCTCCCAATTTTTCAGATAATTTTGATCGCAATTTTACCTTAAGGTCTTGAAAATTGTAAGGAACTATATTAATAACTTTCTTTAAAAATGAATGTTTCGTCGGAGGAAAATTAGCAACTCTCGAATGTTCATACGGCGTTTTTCCTTAGCACGGCAATGTTCTGCTGTATACTGAAGAAAAACGCCGTATAAACATTCAAAAGTTTTCAAATCTTTCACGCTAAACTATGTCCTAATTCAAGTATTTTTGGATATTTTTCTTTGAAATGCCTACATGGGTACACTTGGTTGAAATCCAGTAGGTCGGGGTCGGCTTCCTATGGTGTGGTGGTTTTAGCGCTGGCTCTATCAGGCGGACCCGGGATCAATTCTCGGCTATGCCATCTGAGTTTGATGGTCTTAACGGTTGTCTAGGGCCGGTTATTCAGAAGGAACCGAAGAGGTATGGGCTCCGACTGAAAAAAGCGTACCATATGATTACCTATTATTCGGCACTTGAATTAGTAACAGTAATAAATTTAAAAAGATCCCTAAAGAATGAAAGGAACAATAATGATCATAAGTTTCCAGAAATGTCGTATTTTATAAGAAGAAACTTGACAAAGCTCGAATTCACGGAGCGTTTTCCATGAGCACGGCCTTGTTTCTTCTTTCGAATCACGTCCATCGATCCAAGTTTTTACTTGTCGATCGATTCATGCCGATCAAATCCATAACCTAAGCTTCGAAAGGATTCATTGATCAAAATGAACTTCATTTTGCAATAAGGAACCACAATTTCTAGCTTCGTTAAGGAACACCATGCACTGTTAGTCTCTTCATGCACACAAGTGTTTCTATAGATGAACCAGAAATTGTAGTTCCAAATAGTACAATGTAGTCCAAATGATCATGCCATTACATTGTTGAGCAACGAGGGAATTCACACGTAAAAGTCGTTTCACTTGCATGCTTCTAGAGAAGTCAACTAGTCGGGTTTTTTATGCAATGTTTTACCATTTGAAATGATAATAATTCCAAAAAGCTGTACAAAAACTTCAAAACCATTAGTTGAAAACCGCTGACGCCGCAAGTTTGAATGATCACGTCAAACAGTACGGCCGGCGTGGGTGGGGCTCGCGCACGACGCCAAGCGCATAGTAGCGCCTTACAAGACCGCAGGATACTTCATGCATTGCACGTATAGCACGGTGCGCCCAACGCGGCGTTGGCAACGTCTAGGCTTAGCGCCCAACGCCTAGTAGCGCCTTACAAGTCTGCAGGATACTTCATGCATTGCGCTTATAACACAGTGCGCGCTCAAGTTGGCTCGAGTCACTGAAAGGTCGTATTTTCTTTGTGTCGAACCTACTCCGGTGTACACAATCTTCGAACAGTGCTCACCGCGAGCTTGCAATCCGTGGATATCACAGGATTGTAGAGATTTTGCAATCCTTGGATATCACAGGATTGTAGAGATTTACCGATCCTGTATGTTTCCGATGAAAATATATTTTACGAGTGAAAACTTTTCAAGATGAAATGCAGTTACGTTCTATCGCCCAGAAAACGTCAATAGTATATAATTTCCAGGAAGCTAAAGTGGACATTTTTTTTATCGGATTTGTGGCAAAATTTACAGAGAGATATAGTCCTGGTATCACATTTACATTTAAATGAACTCTGGCAATATAACCTAACTTCGGTAATTTTTGCAAAAATCATTTGAGCCGAAATTTTTAAGAGGGGTAACTCAAAAATAGGGCTCGAAGTGATTTTTTTCTAAATTTGAAAAACTGCAGTAGATTTTCGAAATTTTATCACAACATAGGTAAAATTACGAAAATTCATACTTCCCGGTCTTTCCAGAGCGCCGTCGACGGTAACGCAATCTTTTATCACAGATCTTAACTCGAACCCCTGTCGAATCCCCCTCATATTGAAAGGGCCTTAATATGAACCATATCGACGGTGAAACTACCAAACCACGTATCTCGTTTGCGGTGTTTAAAAATCTAAGCTCGCATTTTATTTTTTTGAAGTAGACCAAATCAATATCATTCCTTGAAGTTTTCACAGAATTTTTTCCGCACGAAGAGGAAAAATCACAGAAATTTTCAACACTGGACGTTGAGTAGTTTTTCATTTAAAAAATAAAGTATGACAGGAAGTCTGCGACGTCGCAAACCGAGATACGTGGTTTGGTAGTTTCACCGTCGATATATAAAAAAAAGGAAGTGTTTGCATCTTGAGGATTGTGTACCCTGTGACGTAGGTCGGTACAACCAGATCAGCAAAATCCGGAATTTGAAGTGTGAGAGACGGACCATAACGTCCGATTTTTTTGCTTAAATCAACTCATTATATAATTTCAAACACTCCATGTAGAATGCATTTTTTCCATATACTACACCATTTCCGAGAAAATCTATGATAAAAGTCGCTGTACCGGCCTACGTCATCAAAAAAATTCCAAAATGCCCGAAATGCAAACACCTCCTTTTTTTTCTTTATGAGTATGAACTAGTCAGTTTAATGATCTTTTATAACTGCCGAGTGTGATCTGCTGATGTAAAAAGGCCCAAACTGGTATAGATCTCTTGGCGTAATTCCAACTTAATATTCCAATGCAAACTGCCTAAGCTGAACACTCCCCCCCCCCTCCTCAGTTTCGTGCTGGTTCGCATTAGTGTTCAAAAATTTTAGTTTTGACTCTAATTATAATTTTTGGAACTTCATGGCTTTGTTTTCCTCGCGAAATGGTGTGGACCTGGACCCAACACCATTTCTCCACCTTGTTATTTACGGAGTTCAGGCCACTTCTTCGTGTTTTTTTTTTTTTTTTTTCATTAGTTAAATGATAGAAGACAAATACGCAATCAATGCTTTTCTAAAAACATTAGAGTAATAATCATTCCAAGCTTGATCAAATTAAAATGTAAGCATGTGGAAAGAAGCAATATTTGGTAAGTAAATGACCAAGAGAACTTAATTATGTTTTTCACTAAAATTTTCTACTTCATTATCTTGTGCTGAAAAAGCATAGAGTATGAAAAAGTGCCTAAAGATGAATTTTGATTTACATTATGTATATGGTGCAAAAGCTGATGCGAAGATCTACCTATATTTCAGTTTTCCCCCCGAGAGTTCATTGACCGCGCGCGGTTGAGAAATCGAATCGGAACAGCGATTGATCGATCGATCGCTGGATTATACGATTGTAAAAGTGTAAACATTGGCATAACCTCAAACAGCCGCATGTATTGATATCGACGCATGTATGCACGTATATTCTTCGAATTTATTATGAACGATTATTCTTTGCGAACGTATCACCGTATCTTTCGCTTAATTTCATCGCAGTCCCATCAGAATTCTTCCATCAGCGACACCTAGTATTTTCTCGAAAAGACATAATCTGCAGTTTGTAAGTAACACCACATTTTCGTATATTTGGGTCAGTTGACGGAATGACTTGCCACCTCTTTATGATCTTATGTATTCTTAATATTTTTTGTTCGGTATCTCAAAACATGCTGTTAAAAAATCTTTTAGTCAACCTTAGTCTAGTTCTCTCCAAAAGAAGTACCGAGGAACAAAATTCAATCAGTTCACGTTCAATTCACCCAATGCTGATAATTCTCAAGTTTTACAGATATACTTGACATTTCACAATCTTGCACTAGATTTGTCACACCCCAATGCGCTCTGCAGGTTGATTGTTGAAATTTGTAGACAAAGCGATAGGCAAGGAAGACAAAAAGGATATGGAGTGATCCTATGGGTAGAAGCGGGTGGTTGCAATCGACAAAGGAGGTAAGTAACAGACTCACTAACGGAACCCCAAGAGAGACTTTACAGTTAGTCCAAAATGTTCTCCCTTAGTCGACATCAACCACCTATTTCAACCAATATGATCGCTCCATACTCCTTGTGTCTTCTTCGTCTATCGTTTTGTCTATCAATTTCAACAATCAGCCCACTGACTCCCTTTCGATCCTGCTAAGCTTAGGAGATATGTAGATATGCCCCCCCCCCCCCCCCTCTGAGACCCTCCACTGCCGAAAAACGCTAGAGTCTGAGAAATCCAGAGAGGGACTGTTGGTTGTCCTCGGTGAGGCTAATTTCAACCGTTAACTATACTCCTCCTTTATCAATATTGTAAAGGATGGTGCTGAGGGAAATTTTTGTCTCTCCAGAAGTAATCAATGTTTCTAAAATTACATTTGCGGGTCAAATTTAATATTTCAAATGCCAATTTCACGAATCTGCTTACAAAACAATAGGCTGTAGAGTGTCTCTTACAATAACAGTTAAGTACTTCCAGTTTTTAATGATCCTCTTCAGCTTAAAACTCATTATTCTTATTATTCTTTCAGATAGGGTTAAAATGTCGAAATTAGCGTATCGCTTAAAGTCTATTTATCTTGCATATATGGCAAAACCGAAGCTACCAATACCACCCTATAAACATATTGTTCAACTAGGAGATCCCATCCTACGCTATAAAGCTGAACCTGTACCTCTCTCAGAAATAGGAACTCCAGAATTCTGTCAAGTAAGTTTTTTTTGCTACTTAGTAGGTACCTATGTTATTTTATCATTTTAGAAGACTTCATACACCCATACTATCATTCTGATTTGTAAGTAGAAAGAAAGATGTAGAAAGTTCCTGAACGTTGAAGACTTCTCAAGATTTTGAGATTCTATTATTCTTAAAAAGTTTCTCACTTTCTCAAATATTATGGAAGGAAAAAATGTTCAAATGATCTTCACCACACATGAGCAAGTCTTGTTCTGTAATGTATGTTTCATGGGCCACCTTCAAACATCTAGTGTTTTGATTTCCTTTTGGTTTTATTTTCCCAAACATTTTATCTTATCAATGGCCCAAGTGCAAAACCATGTATCTTCATTGCAGTGTTTGAAAATTTCCCCCACCTTTTTTTATTTTTGAAGAGAAACAAGCCGACTTTTTAGCTTGAAATGGATACTGAATATTCTGCTCGAACAGAATAAAAATCAAGGAAGTCTTCAAGAAATTAGATTGACTAGTTTCTCAAAGAAAAAATAAATTATGGAGGAAAGGCTGCAATGGCGCCAACAGAGATCCAAAACATCAAAATCCAAAAATATGATTTTAATCCAGATGATGTATCCGATCACTTTCTTACCAACAGGTAATAGAAAAAATATTTAATAGTGCAGTGATCAGTAAAGTTATGGCACTCGTAAACACCTACGCAGAAAAAATAAAATTTAATGAAAGAACTGAATACCCTGAGGTAAAGAAGGGCAGAGAATCTGCATCATTCTATGTTGAAAGTACCGAAACTCTGTTCTCAATATTGAAGTATTTCAAATTTTACGTTTCTTTTTAATTTTATTTCTTTAAGGAGTATTACCTGACACATTTGCAGGAAGTTTAAAGGTAATGCTCTTGAGAGAGAAAAGGATAATGATGAATAATTTAGTCTAATTTGATCAGTTATCATTCTTAAAAAATAGAATGCGGCAGGAAAGCTGCTATGTTGCATACTGAGGTATCCACATTATTTGATAGTTTTACCATCAAAATAATGTTTAAAGTGTGAAGGGAAATGATAAGTAAAGATAAGGTATTAATAGGGACTTTTCTAAACCTAAAGAGGACCTTTAAAACCTTTATACAGAAATTTACCCATTAGTTGAAAAAAGGAAGAAAAGAAAACAGTTTGAATGAAAGGGTTGGTGTTTCGATGATTTGAAAAGCAGCTCACACAAATCAGGCTGTAAATTGGAGGACATAGTCTCCAAAAAATTATTCATGATTGCAAGACAGTGTATAATGATAGGTTTTCACTCTGAAAAACATTATTGAAGATTGTTTCATTCAATATACTTACCATGTCTTAGGGCTAATCAGATATTACTGAAAAATCGTGCCTTAATAATTTGACCGCACCACCTATGATATCATTAATCTATGTTCACAGATAATAGGTCTCATGGCAAAAGCATTGGAAATATTTAATATAGCAGGTCTGTCAGCCCCACAAATAGGAGTTGGTAAACGGATCATGGCATTTCAGTACCCAAGAAGCAAAGACTCTACTTACGATGAAAAAAGTTATAAGGCAATGGAAATGGAGGAAGTGCCGTTACAGGTATGGATCTTCCATGACTTCATACTTTTTTATTGTTCACACTTTTTTTCTTGCATTTTAGTGTTCAGACTTTGTCGAAGGTCCATCAAAGGGTGGTTTGAAGACTATGTTAGGACATTCAGACAGGCTGTCCCACCTTCATTGGGAAATTCTAACAGCCATTTGGACTTCATTTTGCAAATAGGAACTACAATTTCTGGCTCATCTGTAAAAACTTTTTTGTATGTAGGGAAACTAATGGTACATATTTTTGTTTCTAAAGTGCACTGGAAATCGTAGTTCCTAATTACAAAAGTGTAGTCCATCTGATAAGCAAGCCTAATTTTTATGGTTCATCTAAAACAGGAGTTGTCAAGGATTTTACTAATGCAGCAAGAACCTTTTGAGCTTTTTCAATACCTAATATTTTTTACAAACTAGTTTTTTTGCCCAATACTGGTTTTCAGGAACTTTTGATGCATGATGCCAAGATAATTGAAACAGAGATATGCTTTTCTCCTGTTCAAGCACCTAAAATCGACAAAACGCTCTGCTGCACTAGCAAATTTCTTGAAAGAAGTTCAGCTCCAATGAAAAAACAGTATCTGAGACCAGGGTGAGCTTCTTCGTCATGCCTTATTTAAATCATAATTTTCACACAGAATTTCCCTCTGAAACGTTCAATATTTTGGTGATTTTGTGTTATTTACTGCTCTAGAAAACTTTTGTCACTTGCCTTGTTTGGTTTCCAGTTTTGGATCAATCCTGAACTGAAAATTCTAGACTGGGACAAAGTCTCACATCCAGAAGGCTGTGCAAGTTTGAAAGGTCTCTGTGCAGACGTTCCGCGATACAAAAAAGTTGCTTTAAAAGGTAAGGAAGTATATATTTTCCCATGTTTATGCTTTTTCTACCTCCATTCATTCTTGTCTAGAAATTATGAATTATGAAACCTGTATACCTGTATACCTGTTATCAGGACGTAAACTGACGGCATGTGTTCCAAAAAGCAGCATGTCCTTTGTTTGAAATGATTTTCTCTGCACTCTGAATCTTCAAGATAGGTTACCATTCAAAGTGTTAAAAGACATAATGAAATGAAAAAAGTAGGAAGTTTGATGAATTGCAAAACCTGTCTTGTATCCATTCCAAGTTGTCTTCATTGCTCTGTGTTCGGTCAAGAATTACCTTGTTGCAACATGAATGTCCTGTTGACATCTTTATAAGTGCACTTGAAATCCTCCAATTTCTCTTTTATCATTATGGAATCTATAAATGCAATAATTAATGCAAAAATGCATTCTCTCAGTAGCCATAGGTAGTTTAGTTTATTTGGATGTGGGTCTCTTCTTTCTTGGACTTCGCATTTTCTCAACTTCATTTTGACCTCATTGAAACTGGCCCAATTTTTTTCCTATTTTTTCTTTTCTTTTTTTTTTACACCCACATTCTATAACGATGCTTGTAAATGTGCTATTTCCATTATGTTTGCATCTAGTGTAGCAACGACTCATTTAAAAGCTTTTCTTCTTTTTGGGCATTTGGACCCAAATTACTCTTGAACTCAACTTAGTTTTGTATCGGTAGGGCGGCCTTGAATGCCAGACTTAGGATTTTTTGAGCAATTGGCATGGTCACTTTTTACAATTAGATTCTTCTTTGATTCCCCATGTTTTACTCTTTTTTTTTTTCTTCTCTCCATTGCCCTTTTTTTCTCACCCCTCTTGTAAGTGTGGAAAAGATATTGGCTCAAACTCTTCTTTTTCAATTGTCTGTTCAGGTTACGATGAACGGGGTCAGGAGAAAACCTTAGAGGCTAGTGGGTGGACTGCTCGTATCATCCAGCATGAAATGGATCATCTCGATGGCGATTTTTTCGTAGATAAAATGGTTCCTAAAACTCTTAAGAATTCTGGATGGCAGCTTATCAATCTTAAACAAGGGCGTATTAAACTAGATTTTGGGCCATTTAATATGGACACTTAGGCACTATTTTATTCGAGTTTTTAAAATTTGAGTTTTAATGAATTTTTGTACCTAAATAAATAAATAAAGAAATGAAACAAATATCAAAGTAATAATTGTGCCCAAATAGCACCGAAGCAAATTCTGATCTGATGGTGGTGTTGAAACAGATCACCATCTCCCCAAAACTTTCCCCTCAGTGAATTGATTCCTGCTTTAATGATACAGTGAGATGCTAGTCATTGGTGAAGTTGAAAGAGTACCAAAACATGTTCTTCGAAGGTTTAAGAACTGTGAGCAATACTGGGTCTTTATGGCTGTATGCAGAATTTTCAAAGGATTTTATGTCTGCATCCTCGCAAACAACAATAAAAACACACTAAAATACAAATAACAAATGGGTATACTAGGCTAAGGAGAACAAACCAGGACGTTTCGGGCCAATCACTTACATGCCCATTCTCAACTGGAACAGAAGCTAAGGGAACAGGAGTTCGCACTGATTCCTACCTCAGTCAGTTACATGCTCATTTCTCGTTTTAATTTTTACATTTTTTAGCTTCTGTTCCAGTCAAAAATGGGCATGTAATTGGCCCGAAACGTCCTGGTTTGTTCTCCTTAGCCTCATATACTCATTTGTTATTTGTATTTTAACGTGTTTTTATTGTTGTCTGCATTCGGGCTATTGTGTCTCATCTCTCTCTTATCATCCTTGCACAGCTTCTAACTTTTTTAAGTGGAATGTGTCGACATTTGCAAGACCTCACAGACAAAATTCTTACTTATTGCCTCTTCTGACCCCTCAATTAATATGCAGTTTATTGTTTCAAAATTAATTGAAAAAATCCTAAGTGGAGGATTTTTTGCAGTAACCGTATCATTTCAATGTGAACGTTTGTTTCTTTTTTAAAACTGTCGCTTTTGCTTCGGTAGATGTCTCTTTGACTGCATCAGTAATTAAAGTACCAATAATCGGTCTGCAAAAAAACGCCAACTGTGCTTTTATGTGTGTAAGGCACACACCTTAAGCGTAATGTGTGTGACCAGCCTAGCCCAAGATTAAATGCTTATAAACACTGCTAAAATGTAAGTTGACATTCGTCTCTGTCAGACAATACAAGATTGACAATAGGTTTCTTTGAGGAATGAAGGTGAATTTTTGAAATTTTCTCATTGTTTCTTTTACAACCAAGACTAAAGAGTTACTCTATCTTATGTTGGGTTTTCAATTTTGTTGATTTTTTCTTTTTCTTTTTTTTTTTATCTATGCGTTTGAAGTGAATGCTTCAATTTGTTGCATCTACATTTTGAGAAACTAAAAAAAATCTCTCTTGTCCATTTTATGATGCATGGCATCAACTATCATCATCATCTATAATAATCGTAGCAGACATCATAGGTTACTTCAATATATACTTCATATACACAATACCTCAAAACTTCAGCATTATTATCAATGCTCTGTCCATCAGTATATCTGTAATGCCTTTCAAGGCAAGGTCTTGACTCAAGTCCTTTCAAGGTTTTCCTTATAAGGATTTATTCTTTAAGCCTTTGAAATAAAACTGTTCGATTTTTATGATGGAATTTTTCTAGAGTTTTTGCTTAAGTCCAACAAACAAAAGTCTACGCAATACCTATTTTCCTCAATCTTGCTCATTCTACCTGTGAAAGTCAAGCGGCACAGACATTGTTTGCAATTTTCCTTATTCTTGGAGTAAAAGGATGTATAAAGGTTGTCTACAAATGTCTTTTCCGCAGTGTGAAATTAGTTTCGAAATAGCAAGTCCAAAAAAGTTAGCCTTGCATAAATGCCAACATATAGCAATATTTTAGAATATTGATGCCACTTTTAAAGAAACCTCTCTTTTTCTTTGCGTATTTTTTTAAGCGCTCAGCCGATAGGCAGCGCTTTTTGATTTCGACTTGCCTCTGAGTACTAGTATACTAGTGCTAATGCGTTTAAATGGCGCACCAGCTCATCGATGTGTAGGCTTTTGGGGGGGGGGGGGCCTTTGTTTTAAAATAAATAAAGCTGTGAAAACTGTATTTTATGCTTTTAACGTAATGCGCAGGTAGTTTCGATCGTTTAGCTATAAGAAAATTTCTTAGCGGTAGAGTAATTCTTATCGAAATTGATCGTTGAACTCAAATGAAGCCTAAAAAAACTCGCCTGATGAGCTCAACGGTGAGCTCATTTTCGGGAAACAAAAATACGCGTTTACGGTTTCCTTGGTAACCTTTGTTTGCTATCAGCTGATGTTTTATTTCCATTTCCCAGCCAAGTCGACGGAGTTTATACGTCCTTTCTTCACTAAATACATTTACCAACACCTGAGCGCTTTTCTAATACGACAGTATTAGAACTTTCCCGCTTGTTTTCAACTTGAACCGTACCTCTCTTTATCTTACCGAATTTTTTTTTCAACTTAAAACCCTAATGATAAGTCCCCATGACGCATCTATTACCCTCTTTTCTCTCTGTTAAAACCAACATCCATCAACTCTTATTAAATTTTTAAAGCACTCTAAATTCTCATGTTTCCCTTATGGGTGCCTCAATGTTAGAGAACAAGGTCTTTATTCTTCAAAATATTCAAATGAATGTAACTTGTATTTTCAATGTCTGATTGTGAGTTCTGAGAAAATTTTCCCATTTTTTTCCGATACTCTGTACCTATCTCAAGATAGGCTATATCTTGAGATTCCTTGATAGAGAGTACCCTCCATCGACGTCAATGCAAGCTTTGTTGCGTCTTATGAGATTGAAGGCGCTAAAGTATGTCCATTTGCTAATGAAACGTTAACGTGCGGGCAAAAAGCCAATGGCCTGACGAAGAATGGAGATCTAAACTCTCACATGACTGCAGAAGATCAACACTGCTGCCGTGCTAAGTATAAACGCCGCATAAGCATTCGAATTTTGTCAAATTTCCTCTCAGAAAATATTGATTTTTGAAGAAAGTTATGAATATTTTCCCTTTAAATTGTCAGACTTTCTAAATCAAATTACGGACGAAATCCTCTGAAAAATGATAGGATAAATATTCACAATTTTGTCCAAAATTCGAGATTTTTCGAAGGAATATTTGGCAACGCTTGATGGCTTATGCGACGCTCTTCCTTAGCATCGCAGAATAGTGGGGAGTGGAGCACCTTTTTTTAATCTTCCATGAAGTTCAAGGAGGATGATAAAAACTTCCTCCAGAGAAGAATGAAAAATAATATGCAAGTAAGAAGAATCAGAGGCCACTAGGCTAGTTTGAATGAAAGTACCACGTTTTACGTTTTTCTTCCCGAAAATTTCAGATAGAAAGAAACGAATGCAATTGGAAGTTCGCGACTCCACGTCCACGTAACTTATGTATTTAACAGTGATGAAATGGAACGCTAGTCGTAAAAATGGCACCATATCGACAATGGAAGTCCCAAACCACTTATCTGTGTCTGCGACGTTGCAGACTTCCTGTTATGCTTATTTTATAAATCGGAAATCACTGTATGTCAACTCTTCAAAATTTCCGTGATTTTTCCTCTCCATGCGAGGAAAAAAAACTGTGAAAACGTCAAAGAGTGATGTTGATTCGCTCTCTTTTAAATTTAATAAAATTGGAGTACTGTAACTGTAAAACACCGTAAACGAGGTATGTGGTTTGGTAGATTCACCGTCGATTTGAAGGAGTTGACTTTTGAACCTTCCGTCGTTAAAATCGTTTTCTACGTAAAATTTTGGACAAAAACGTGCAAAAAATTGCCTTAGTTCGTACCTTGCCCAGTGCCTCATTCATTGAACTGAATTCAACAGGAAGAAGCAGAGTCATATTTTTGGACCCTACATAATCAGGAATTTAGAAACCCCTACCATTATTTTTTTCCGCTTATAGGATCCGATCCTAAGGGAAAATAAACCGATTTGCATGCGTATAGAGGGGAACCAAATTCTAGAAAGACACAATGTTACGTGAGTTGCAACTCGGAATGGATAATCACGCTATGACACCACGTAATAACAGAAGTTAAAACAATGTGGCCAGAAAAGAGAATCGCTCATTGTAAGCCCTGGCATGCTGCATGATGCGACGTTTAAAACGTATTGGCCGCGCGTGTGAAACATCATGGCACGAGTCGAGCCTGGACTTTCCGCAGATCTCGAAAAATGCATATTTGCATCCCAATAACCGTTAGACAACTCCTCGTGCCATGAACACTCTCAACCTGCTAGTGCAGAAAAGGAAAAATCACTCCTGAAGTAGAAGACTGAGGAAATATTTACGATAGGCAAGATAACTCTGAAAAGAACATTGTCGATTTTGCGACACAGAAGCAATACATTTCCAATGCGCAGAGGGCTGTCAAGATGATTGTATCGGACACCTTTCACCCCTAAAAGGTGTACCTACTCTTTGAAAATGCCAAAACTTCCGAATTGCGCCCAAGCTTATCGCTGTCTATTCGGTATTTTTCCTGCGTCCCATTCTTCCCTTGCGGCTGCAATCAGGGTTGCAGAGAGTTCATATAGCCTTCCTCAATTTGGAATTTGCCTTCCCTAGAATTTGATGCTTTTCCATTATTACACCTCTTCATAAAACGCGTTTAAAAAGCATCCTGCACAGAAAACTTAGTTAAGAGCTTAACCTAGGGATTTTTTATACAATTTATAAAAAATCTTTAATCAAATTTCGTGAAAAAACCATAGAGTTGAAAAAAATGATTACGAAAGAGAAAGAAAACTTTTCAAAATCGACAAATCAAAAGTCAACAGTCGATGACGTATCACGTTTATCTCTGCAGTTGAGATGAGCCAATCAGCAAACGTCGTTTCCCCGCCTGGCGACGTAATCAGAGCCCGCGAAAATCCATTTCAGACGGGCCCTATTATTGGCCGTTTTCCTTATTTGCCATGTAAGGTCCAAAGAAAGTCTAAAAAAATTCGTAGAGGCTCAGTTCACCTCGTACTTTCAGAAAATGACTTGAAGAAAATGGGTGCCACCGACCCATTTCATTTCTTACTTATATATTTTCAGTTTTAAAGGACTATAAATGAGGGCCTTGGAGGGCGAGGCGCATGAGTGCAGTTTTTGCTATTTCGAGGGATACGTGTTTGATGTT